AGAATTCTACTCTATAGGGTTTTCAATGGCAGATTTTAACAAGTAAATCAATACGAAGTAATCTCTGCTTGTACTCCAACCACCATTTTTTTTCAGTGAGCATCTGAGTGTGCTAGCTGTTTTCATTACTCACAAACTTCTTGGGGAATTTACATCCCTAACAAGCCCTGGCAGTTCTCATTACCCTGCAAAAATAAAGAAACTTAAAAGCAGACGTTTTGCTATGCAATTATAGTCTCAAGGCAAAAAGTGCTTCCATCCATACTGAAACACCCATACTACTCTCATATCAGTATCCTGAAACGTGCACTGTCCAAAATCATTACATAATTAAAGTGCACTTTGGTGGGGTTTTTATTGGAGTTTCTCTTTTATTAGAAAGGGAGAAGTAAAATAGAAAGGACAAAACAGGTAGGAGCCAGGTTTGAATACTGACCTGTTTAATCATTAATAGATGTCCTTCCTGTTGTTGCTCTTACTTGCTGTTGAGTTGCCTGTGACTCATAGTGAACCTATTCACAACAGCTCTACAGCTTGTCCTGTCCTTAGCCAGTCTCATTAACTCTGACACACTTACCACCATTGCCCCAGTCACTGAGTCAATCCACCTCATTTGAGGTCTTTCTCTCCTTCACTATCCCTCCATCCTTCCAAGTTTGATGTCTGTCTCTAAGAACCAGTCTTTCCTGGCCACATGCCTAAACTATGTAAGACGGAGCTTCAAAATCCTAGCCTCCAAGGAGAAACTTGGTTTCACTCTCTCCAAGACAGACCTATTTGTTTTCTTGGCATTCCGTGGGATAAGACTGGATAAGATGTCACTAAGATGAGATTGTTAACAACTTCAGATTGCTTGACTCCACAATAAACACTCTTGGTACCAGCAGCCAGGAAGTTAAAAGATTAATTTCACCGGGAAATCCTGCTGTCAGAGACCTCTCCAAAGTACTGAAGAGATGAAATGCAAGTATGGAGACTAAGGTGCACCTGATTCAGTCCATGGTCTTTGCAATTACTTGCTATGCATCAAAAAGCTGGACATTGACTAGAGATGGTAGAAGGAGAGTTGATGCCTTTGAGCTTTGGTGCTGGAGAAGTATATAGAACATACCATGGATGGCTAAGAGTACAAACAGGTTCATCCTAGAGAGGGTGAAACCAGGCTGCTCCTTGGAGGCAAGGACTTTGAAGTTTCATGTGACATACTCCGGACATGCTTCAAGGAGGGAGAGTCCTTGGAGAGGGGCAGTGCAAAGAGAGGAAGACCCTCTATGAGATGGATTGATTCAGTGATTAGGGTTACGGGGGTAGGTGTGTTAGAGACAGTAAGATTGGCACGGGATAGAGCAGCATATAGGGCTGTTGTACATAGGGTTGCTATGTTTCGGAAAAGACTGGACAGTACACAACAACAGGATGTCCTTAGGGAAAATAAAAACCCAAAAATTTAAGCCTATGATTAAAAAAACAAACAAACCCTTGTTCTCATTAAAAAAGTCAAAGTAAAGCCTGGGTGAAGCTGGTGATAAATATATAAAAAGACTAACTGACTTAGGGTACACAAAGCACCTAGAAGGTCCGGGCACCTCATAAGTGCAGCCACCATTTATGATCTGTCAGTGGAGGTCGAAGTCTCCACGAAGTTGATTAGGTCTCCAAAAATCTTCTAGACCAAGAAGGACTAGGAAGAAAGGCCTGGAATTCAACTCAAAAAATCTATCAGTGAGACCTCTTATGAATCACAAAGGCCAAATCTGCAGCTAATGATGGGAATATCCAAGCACTGGGCATTGTTTTGTTCCTTTGTGTATGGGGTCACAAGTGTGGAGCCATCCCCATTGCAGTTAATAGGTATCCAGTCCGTTGCCCCTCCTCTATTTCTCCTTCTTTCTTTCACTATTTCAAAGTTATACACAGTATGAGGTCTCTCTCAGTTAAGGTAGTGGGGGGAAAGCAAACTTTAAAACAATAAAATCATAAATGGATGCAGTAACAAACTGGGTTATATTTTGAGGAGGGTCAATGTATCTCTGATCAAAGGGATTTTCTATGTCACAAGTGATTTAGGAAAATTTAGCACTCCACAGAGCATTCACAGAGTCCTAAGAAACCTGTGTTTGCCCTTTCATTCTCAGTGGGGCACTTGTGCTGGGAAGACAGTAAACAACCCACTACTGCTCCCTTCTCCTTTATGTCATGCCCAAGCTAAAGCATGGCTTCGGGAAAAACTGCACTGCCCACTCCAAGTTGCTATAACAACATCATTGCCAAAGTAGTAGGCTACTCTGTAGGTGTCAGATTAGTCTTTTCTAGATATTATATCACTTCTGCTCCTGGCACATCTGTGCCTGTTAAGAGGGTAGGCTGGAGTCACCACGAAACTCCGCAGCCACACACTAGCTCAGGCTAGAGAGAGGTGGTTGGAAAGCTAATGAGCTCTTCTCATATACAGAATTCCAACAGACTGTGCTTCAAATCTTCAGACGATTCTTCTCTCTATGAGAGAGCAGAGTGATACCTTGATACTCTCTGTAAGGCTGCACAGTATCTATACCATGAAACTAAACTGCCTTTTAATGATAAGTATCAAAGAAGGAGGTAGATTAAAAAGAATGTTACCTTGCTCCTAAAAAGTCATTAGTTTATGCCCTAGAAGAAAAGAAGGAATTAAAAATTTAGATTGAGACAACAAATATGCAAACACATTGCTTCCAGGCTCTCTGTGGCTGGGTAACTTTGATGATCAAATAGGCTCAGCAGTTACCAGCCCAGGAAAGCAAACAATGTAGGCAGATACCGATCCAGAATTGTTAGGATGGAGCCAATGATGATGGCATTCCGATTCTCGACTCTCTCCCTCTGACTCAGTACCAACCAGAGTCCCATAGGATATACTACACTAGTTAGCCCATTTCCAGTTTCCTCATGACAAAGTCTCACTTTCTGACCCAAAACATTCTCTCTCTTCGTCCTATCCTTCTGTCTGAGCCACATGCAAGTGAGAGTGGCAGACTCTTCCTTGGAGAGGTGCTAATAACGAGCTTCTGTATGTCTTCACTTAGGTCGTCTTCACTTATTTCCACCAGATGTTATGCGTCTGTCTATGTTACAGTCCATTTATGAACAAAATCACATTTTAAGATATGCAGCCATGGCAGCTTAAGAAAATGAACATCATCCCTGAGACTTCTGGGCAACCCTAAACTCTGTCCGCTTCACACTTTGATGCTCATCAAACTGATCTCCAGCCTTTCTCCTCCATCCACGCATGGATCCAATCAGAGCAAAGAATTGCAATCATAGAGTGGTCAATCATACACTAAAATTCTGACCTATCAGGTAACTTCTGAATCCCAAGCAGACCAGGTCAGTCAGCCACTCTGCTAGACTACTCAGCATGCCAGGCTGTTCCACAAATCCGTCACTAGACAAGTAGTCCAATGTACCTGGTATGACCATCTCTCTTCACATTAGCAATTGATTAACCAAGCGAATGCCTATCAATAAAGCCACGACCTTGTCTATATCCCAGCTCCTTGACAAAGCCACAGACAATGCTTCCTATCCCGTTCTGAAGGAGGACTACTCATTCCTCTTCCCTGACATAAAATGTTGTTGTGGTTGTTATGCGCTGTCATGTAGTGTGTGACTCACAATGACCCTACTACATACAAAATACCTAAACCCCGATCTGTCCCGTACCAGTCTCATTGTCTCCGACACACCTACCCCCATTACTCCAATCACTGAAACAATTCACCTCATAGAGGTCCTTCCTCTCCTGTGCCATCCCTCCACTCTCCCAAGCATGATGTTCCACTCCAAGGACTGCTCCCTCCTTGCAACATGTCCAAAGTAATGTCAGACGAAGATTCAGAATTCTTGCCTCCATGGAGCAGCCTATCTTAACCAGCATCAACTCTCCTTTTATCCTTCCTAGTTATTGTCCAGCTCTCTGATGCAAAGCAAGTGACTGCAAAGACCATGGCCTGTATCTAGTGCACCTTAGTTTCTAGAGGGACACAATTATTCCAAATGTCTATCTGTGTTTAGTTGATTATGCAAAGGCCTTTGTGTGGATCACAACAAACTGGTTGACTCTGAGAAGAACGGGAATCCCAGAACATTTGATCATGCTTATGTGAAAACTATACTTAGACCAGGATGCAGTCGTCAGAACAGACCAAGGAAAACACTGCATGGTTCAAAATTAGGAAGGCTTTATGCCAGGGATGTGTCTTATCTCCATACCTTTTTAACCTATATATATGCAAAACATATTATCTGGGAGGCTGGGCTCTATGAGGAGAAGTGTAGCATCAGGACTGGTAGAAGATTCATTAATAGTCTGTGATATTTAGATGACACAATCCTGCTTGCTGAAACGGAGGAGGACCTGAAACGCGTGCTGCAGAGGGTCAAGGACTGCAGCCTTCAATATGGATTGAGGCTCAATATCAAAAAGACAAAGATTCTCACCACTGGACCAATTGGCAACATCAGGATGGATGGTGAAGAGATTGAGATTGTTCACCGCTTCAGTTTGCTTGGCTGTACAGTCAACACTCTTGGCACCCACAGCCAGAAAATTAAAAGACATTGCGATGGGAAAGTCTGCTGTTAGGGACCTCTCCAGAGTACTGAAGAGTAATGGTGACACAACACAGGACATACAATTTTTGGCACGCATCACATGGTATAGCAATGATTCAGTTACAGCAGTCAGCCTTTCTTATCCATTGAATTCTCAGAGTATAGGAACTACATTTCACTCTCTTGTGTACTCTGTGCAGGCACACCAAGTCTATGTTTGTTTCATAAGTTAAGAAGTAGGTGGGTGAGTAAATGTTATAGGTTTAGATAAATATTAATAAATTTAAAATATTTTAAAAAAATTTTGAAAAATATTCAAAAGCACTAACGTGGACTGAGGGGACCATTGGGAGTTTTACAGGAAGTAGGCTTACAAATTCATCGAAACACCCAGGTTCTCTGCCTACCTCAATCTCCGTGCTGTTGTCATCCTGCCCATCATCCAGCAGAAGGTCTGTGAAGCTTCTGGGCTCTGTAGAATCTTGACCCAAGCTCGCTCTGTTTGTGTCTACCGCCTTGAGAGAGTCAAGGTTTCTTCTCCACCTGTGGCTGTAGGCGTGTGAGTACACTTCCACCTCATCTTCTGTTGGAGGGAAGGGTTGAGCAACTTCATATCTCCAATCTGTTTGTCAAAAAAATAAAAATAAAAATGTGTTACACCTTGGAATGACTCACACCTATTGCTTACTAGAGCAGAAAAGGAACCTGCCAGTCACGGCCATAGCTAACTAGTAATAGTAAAATCAGCTTACTGGTCACATTTGTAACTGATGGGAGTCTCTCCCAGTGAAATTCAGTTGCAGGATCTACCTTAGTGACAATGGCTAATGAGCAGCCTTCTCCGAGGCCCTTAAACAGATGTGCAGCATGAAAGCACTGTATTGTTGCTCTCTTCTATTCCTCCATAACACTTTTCTACTAGTTCTGAGAAAATAAACCAGAATCCAAGCAAATAAATCAAACCATGCACTTTTCAGATCGTTTGAAAATGAAGTCAGTCATGATTGCTAACTAGGAGCTTGTATTAGTTTCACATCATTTGTGTTGGGAAGCAGGGAGATTGTGATGCACTTGAAATGGTTAAATGATACATGGACTTATCTCCATGGGAATGTGCCCACCTCCCTGTAGCTTGCAAGTCAGACGTGGTTCATTGACTCATTTAATAAAGAGCACCCTTAGGAATCACCACAAACGCTCCTGTTCATTTTTGTTGCTTCACCTTGGAATCTTGTCAGGGTAGTAAAGAATGACACTGACGGGCACTTAAGAGAAACGGATGGCAAGGCAAGGAGATCAAATCACTATGGGATTTTAAAGCCATCTGCAGGGATTGGCCTTTCTGACCCCATTTCATCTTGTTACGACGGGAGGGAAAATTAGATTCAATCATTACTCCTAGTATTTCATTTCAGCAGGTCAGCAGGGAAGGTATACCCCAAGTATGGGAAATTTACTTTCTGACCAAGAAGAGCAGCCTTCTTCTATGCAACCATTACTAAAAGGTAGGAACTGACAGGCTTTATAACTGGTGGCAGGATATGGATTCAAAAGGAACTGAGAGAGTAAGGATTTCATTCCAGCTGTGATTGTACCCTTTTAAAAAAAAAACAGTGTGTGGTGGTGGGGGGGGGATTAATCACGGGCTGTACAATTTGATAGGTGGACGGGTGTGGGAAATTGAAAGATTTTGTTTGAATTTGTATTCAAATTTTGTAAATAAACTAGTGCTGTTGTTGTTGCTATGTGCTGTCGAGTCGTTTTCAACTCATAGCGACCCTATGCACAACAGCCCTAAACCCTGCTCTATCCTGCGCCAACCGCACTGCCTCTGACACACCCATCCCGATTACCCCAGTCACTGAATCAATCCATCTCATAGAGGGCAAAAAATAAAAAAAAAAATTAAATCAAAAAAAGAACATGGCAATGAATTAAAATGCCGCTTTAAATACTTCCAGATCAATTCTTCACAATGTAAAACAAAACAAAACAAACCCCAAATCCTGTATATTTCCTGAGGTCCCTAGGTGGTACAAAAGGTCAACAGATTAAATCCAGTCAGTGGCACAACATAATAAAGGTCTGGCAATCTGCTACTTATAGCATTAAAACCAAAAAATCCTGTGGCGTGCAGTTCCAGTTTGAAGCACATGAGATAACATGAGTTATAAAAGACTTGTCAGCACCAAGTAGTGTCAACCATTTCACAGAGTCCTGGGTGCTGTAAACACTTAAGCAATCTACTACAAACTATTCCAACAGCTAATCAAATCATGTTAATGTGAACCTATCCACAAGTCCTTACTACCCAAAAATCACAACTAAAGAACTCATGGGTCACAGTAAGATGGGCTTAACTTGACAGGAACTGGTAAAAATTGCATTTTGAAGTCTCCCATTATTAAATGCATGTATAATGATCTAAAATATCCCTTTTCAACTAACAATGGAGCTAATAAATCTACACAAAGAACATCCCTTCCCTTCATAGTAAACGTAATAGACCTCCTGCTGATTGATATCTTAGTGTTTTAAATTTAGGACAAAAAAAGCAAACAAAACCACAATCCCTGTAATCGATTTTAGGTCACACAGAATTGTATAGTTTATAAGAATGATTTAGACTAAAATGTACAGGAATTCCACCAGGAGAACTCTAACAGCCATTTGCTTTATTTATATGTCCTGCCTAATTAAAAAAATTAGATGAGGTCACTTACAACAAGGGTAAGCAAGAAAGTTCTAACAGCCAGCGAAATATTATGATTAATTTACAGAACTGTTGTGAGGTTCAAAGGAAAGGACACAAAAAAGGAGTGATCTTAGGCCCTATCCCATTCCAAACGTTAAGTACTTGGCATGAGTAAACAATACTAGCATCACCAGTACGGAAATAATTTTAAAAAAAACAAAACAAAACAAAAAAAAAAAAACTCTATTACCACAGTTGGACAATGAACAGTATTTGTTAACTGTTTTCCTAATTGACTGAGTGGAGGAAGAAATTACTGATAGTCTCTACAGCAAGACTCACAAATCCTGAAATAAGAAACAATGTACAGAAAGTCAGGAAAGCTGAGCTGCATTTCTTTGTGAGGCTTACTGACTCTTGGATGAACATCATTTGTGACATTCTCTGTGTTTTAGCCGCCCCATATTAAAAGAGGAAATGAATGTGTATTACCTTCAAGAGTGGTCAGCTTTTCCCGAGGCTTTCTTAGCCAGTGAGACCTGTGATTCAATGCAACACTACAGAAAGCAATTTTATTTGCTTTATTTATATGTCCTGCCTAATTAACAAAATTAGATGAGAACACTTACAACAAGGGTAAGCAAGAAAGTTCTGTACCAACCAGATAAATCCTCAGAGCATAATGCTGAGGTCAACTTTAGTAATGAGTTTCTCTTAGCAATGATCCCACTGACATAGGTATCCAAATATAAATAATCACGCATGAAAGATTGCTTGAATGTCAATCCCAATAGGATATAATGTAAAAAAAAAAAGACTAAGTAGTTAATGAAGTAAACGGGGCTCTAGAAAAAGAAATAAAGGTACTTTTTTTAAAAAGTCCACCCACTCAGAGGAACAGCTTTAACCAGAGGCATATCCATCCTCTATAATGTTAATCAGCAAAAATATACCTACGACTTCAAAGAATTAGGCTTTATTAAATTTTTCAAAACAGAACTTCAAAGTAACTTTCAGTTGCTTTTGAATAGCTGCTATGGTTTCTTCCCTGGTGTTAATTTCAACATTTTCTTCTAAGGGGATTTTAACACAGAAAAATATATTACATTTCCTTCATCCCCATTATTGTTGTTGTTAAGAGCCATGGAGTCAAGTATGACTTATAGAGACCCTATGAACAATAGATTTGAACTCTGCCCTACCCTGCCAGACGATACCATGAATCTGTAGAACTTGACTGATACTAGCTAGCTATCCTTCTAGCCACCCATTCATCCGGGGCTCTTTCATCTATCTCTCTAACTAGGTGTCATATAAAAAACAAAGCTTTTATTGAGTTAAAGTAGTTTGTATTTGGGTTTGCTGGGGTATTTTTATTTTATGTAATCTTCACCTGTGTTATTTTATTTTTTCTATTTTCCCTCTATTCTTATACAAACAACAGTACAACCACCAATCTGCCTTCCTCTTCCTAGAATGTATAATTCCAGCATTAAAACTATCACTTGTTACTTCTACCGTTTTTTACAGAAATAAATCAGAATCTGAAGGAAATTATGATTTTCTGAGTTGTGTGAGGATACCAAGGGTATCATCCAAGAAGAGTGCAAACGTTAATTACAAAGATAGAAGAAGAAGAAAAGACCAAAATGGATGTCAGAAGAAACTCTGAATATTGCACTGGAGCACAGAAAAGCCAAGGCACAAGGAAGAACTCAAGATACTAAAGAGCTCAAAAGAAGATTTCACGTGGGATGACAAAGTAAAAAATTACAATGAAATGTGCAAGGAGTTGGAGTCAGAAAACCAAAAGGGTTGAACTCGCTCAGCATTTCTTAAGCTCAAGGAACTAAAGAACAAATTCAAATCTCGAGTTGCTATAATCAAGGATGCTGTAGGCAGAGTATTAAATGATCCAGGAAGTATCAAAAGAAGATGGAAAGAATATACTGAGTTATTGCATCGAATGGAATTAGAAGACAAAGAAGAATTTAATGAAACAACATATGAGCAAGATCCTATGGTGATGAAGGAAGAAGTTCAAGCTGCTTTGAAAGAAATAACAAAAAATAAGGCCCCAGGAATAGATGGTATACCAAGTGACATATTTCAGCTAACAGATGCTGCCCTGGAC